ATTCATCCTGCTAGACAGGGGTCAGAAGCCCCCTCAGTACCCCAGAAAGGACCATGCACTTCCAGACTTCTCTGCTAGGTGCCTCCCTCTGGGGCAGCTACAATTCATACTTGTGGGTTTCCACTAGACCAATAGCAATTCTGGGGCGCAGACATCTCTGCTTCCGTAGGCCCTGTGCAGCTCTATCTGCATCGACCCAGTGATTCAAACATTTGACCCAAATATGTGTTTATCCTACTCATTTACATGATCATAACTTAAAAATATTTGGAGTGAAATGGAAGTTATGGGTGAGATGTTTCTCACCCTGGAAATGTTTGATTCAGCTGATCCTCTTCCCAGAACTTTGAAGCTAAAGAATATGTTGGGGCATTAACTTTAGCTGTTAGTTTCCTTGCGAAAAGCAACCCTGAAAGGTTTTCTACACACTAGTCTGACTACCCCCGAAAGGTGACTGGTGTGAACCCCAGCCAAACCAGAGGACAATGTCTGTCCACCTTCATTGGCCAAACCTCCATTTTCAGTAAGAAATGAACCTAGCATCTAAATAATCATCACAAGAATCTATTCTGTTTTCCAGATGTCAATTCAAAATACAGCCTCATTAATACGCTGCAATGTTACATTAAAATTAATGTCCCAAAGGTGAATGACGACGGGACTTGCCTTTGACACCATCTAATTGGTTCTTTTTAAAAAATTTTAAATTTTAACATATTTTTTTTCTGATTTCAAAAGTTAAACATGTGATTTTAGAGTCTTTGGAATAAAAGATACAAGAAAGATTCCTATGGCAGAGGTAGCAACTGTTAACACTTTGTTTTTTTACCTTTCTGTAAATGAAGGGTTTCACTAATACAATTTAAGTCTAAAGTTGTCATACAGAATTGCCCTCCAAAGAATGTTACAGTGAAGTTCCTTGTAGGTAGGTAGTTATGCAGAGAGGCATAAAAAGAGAACTGGGGGAAATTTTGCAACAGGAAGTCCTTACCTCTTTTCCTCGGAGTCCAGTTCCCAACAAGTAAACTTGGCTTTCCTCATGATAACGAATCTGGATGTTGTAAACTTTATCTTTGTACAACACCATGAGGACGTACGGGTTGGTGGTTGTTTTCTTAGAGCTGTCTCTAACCAGAAAAGTGCCATCCTAAAAGGATACATTCCTGTTATTATGGGAGCAGTAAAAGTCAAATACTCCTGGTGCTTCTAAGAGCAGTAGGCAAGTCTCTAGGGATATGGAAAGCTATGGCGGACAAATCCGTGAACGCTCAGCTCCCCAGGCAGGTACAGATACCATGCACCAAGGATTTCTGGGTTCTCAAGAAGAGGCGGCAGAGATTGTGTCAGAGACATTTCTAAGTCAACCTCTTTGGAGTGTTCTGATGAAAAGGAATCCCTTTTTCAGTAATAAATAATAGGTGGTTGAATGGATAAAGGGTCAGGTGAAATAAGAACTTTATTGATTAACTAAGGATATATCTTCCTATTCCTAGGAACTAATTTCCTAACCCTTCTTTCCACTTTGGAAGTCAGAAAACGCCCAAAAGCACATGAAGTTCACACCTTTTTAAACTTCATGATCTCCAGATAGTGTTTCATTCATCACATGCCTGACAAAATTGAATGTGGACCATGGGTGTTCTTACAATTTTTTTTTCTGATATTAAAATAATGTGATTTGTCCAATACTTTAAAATTTCATTCCATAAATTATTGCTACATAATATTAATACTGTAAAGATCTGATATTAAAATAGAATTAATTAGTAAGGACACATTTAAACTACTCTCTGTGTATTAAATCAGGATGGCTTTAAATAGCCATCAATCTACAATAATAGCTTCCCTTTGTTCTTTTTATTCCAAGTTAATTGAATAAGTTCCAGTCAGAACATCTCTGTTGAGCAAACACACCTGTGGACCAGTGCTTCACAGCCTTGGCTTCACTTTAAAACCACCTGGAGAGTTTTGAGGACGCCCAGAGCCCCCACAGCACTCCTGGCTAGTTAAATCAGAACCTCTCCAGGTGAGATCCAGGAATCGGAATTTTTTAAAGCCGCCCAGGTGATTTAAATGTGCAGCTAAGGCTGAGAACTACTGTTGTTGACTCAAGATGTGAAAGGGTCTTTGCTTTCCCCTCTCTGATATATAGATTTCAGGTTAAGGTTCAGAACCAGACGACAGGAAATCTGGTAAGATCTCATAGTATGAAAGGATAGCTAGAACTTTCTAGGGGAATTTCTAGGGGAAAGGGCAGAAAGTTGCTGCTGTCTCTCTGGATATGGGACCCTTCACGTCGATATGAATGGCAACCGTGTATTAAGAGGAAGATGAAGCTGGTAAGTTAGAAATTTGGGGGAAAGGGTTTCCTTTTGACACTGTATGATTTGTATGGCAAAACTGATCTTTTTGACAGTAAAATCTCCTAAGATCCTGCCAGCCAAATGACGACCTTAATTTAGGTTTTTCCCAGGGTCCGAGGAATTACTGCTGTGGCTGCTGGTGGGTGTGACGCTGGCAGTAATGGGTCCCCTTGGTATAACAGCGTGAACCTAGCAGAATTCCAAGCCCATAATTGGTGCTCGATAAAAGTCAGTTCCCTTTTTCTCCTTCCGTTAATATTTATAACTACTTAAAAATAAACTTTAGCACAGTACCTGGTTTATCTTTCTAAGAGCAGCTTCTGCCTCTGGTCGGGTAATGTAAGAAACATACCACTCTTCATTTAATGAATTCTGAAAAGGTACATTTTTAAAAACTGAATAAATTTTGCAGTTACATATGTAAGTGAAAAGAAACCCCCTCCCAAGTAATTATTTCCATAAATCACCACCTCAATTCCATGAGGTCTGAAACATTTGTTTTCTTAATTTGAATATAGAGTCATTCAGGTGGGGCTAACGAGAAGGTATTTCCCGTGAACTGCTTTTTATCATGACGCTGGTAGTTACGAACGAGCATTCCTTATTTAATGGAACCTCGAATCTGGAAAAATACGTAATAATTTCTTCAGTTTAATATAATAATATACTTAATAAAAAAAACTGGGTTAACAAGCAGTTAAAGGACTTATTCAAGGTCATAAACTAGGGAACAGATGAAAAACTAGGATTATGTTTCTCATTGTTAAATGCAAAACACACATCTGCCTTTGGAAGTGTCTGTAAGAATACCAAGGAAGAAGAAAATAGTTTTCACCTGGATCCTCCCGTGACTTTTTTTTTTCACACACACACACACAAAAGGCTAACAGAAGATAGAAGTACAAAAGGGTATTCAGTAGGAGTTTCTCATGATTCACTTGCTGAGAAAAAAAATAAGTGAAAAGAAAACATATGCTTTATTACCTCTTCTTCCCCAGGGGATGGTGGCCAAGGTTTGCTTGGAACGGGCAAGGACAAGTTCCTGCCTTCAGCTCTGGGAGGCAGCCTGCTGCTGGGGCCTTCAAAAGTATAGCATTTTGAAAGTTAATTTACTGTAAGTCCCCTTTCACTCCCGTCATAACACATTTTCTCCCCAAAATGCCCTTGCAATTGTTCCCAGCAGTGAGCATTTCAAGAAGCCATAGCTTCAAAAATAATTTTCACCTGTTCAAAGCCACAAGGGCTGCTCAGGCACTATTCTACAGCAATGCCAGTGAAATTCTGAAAGCAATAGCACAAATTTGAGTGATTTCTTAAACGTGCACATTACATAATATAAAGTGCCTAAGTCCACTGATGATAAAGTCACAGTCCTTTTAATGTGATCATCAGAAAGAGTATTCAAGAGACAGATCTTTCATAGATTCCAGAATGGATTCCCAGCCATTGATGTGGTGACAGTGCAGTTAGAAATATAATTATGTTCTCATCGTTTTCACAAAAAGAAATGTCAGTTACCTAAGACGAGGTGGAATTACCTTGAGAACCAGAATTACCTTTTGGAACCAGAGTTTGCTACTTGCTGTCCTTTACTGTATTTTCTGAAGAGGTGGAGTTCTCCAATCCCCATAGGAGGATTATCTGATCAGTCAGGAATCTTTGTCAGGTAGCTGTATATTAATTACCCAGCACTTTCATCTCACCTTCTCTACCACTTTTTTTTCTTATTTATGGTTCCCTGAAAATTTCTGAGAATGTGTTTCCTAATCTCAGGAAACATTTGATTGTGTTGATTTATAATTGCCCAGGCTGTTTTCTATGTGACAGTAATAGCTCTTAAAAACGGGAAAATTCTGCGAGCTGAATGTTGTCTTATTTATGCTTCATTCATTCACTCATTCGTTCATTCAACAAATATCTGCTGAGCCCTCCTTTGTCCAGGCCTTGAGTAAGGCACCTGTGTACGCTGCCTTTGATCCTGACAGCAACACCAAAGGTAGACACTGTCATCATTTTGCATCACAGGAAACAGGCTCAGAGAGTCTAAGCAAATCATGGGCTCTTATTGGCAGGGTCAGGACTTGAACCTGTATTTCCAGACGTTATTCTGTATGATTAGTAATCCTGGGGTTTCTGAATCGCCCAGGGCTCTGGAATCAGCATGTTAACAAGCACTCCAGGTGCTTCTGCACCAGGGTTGTCACTCCATCTACAATATGTCCCAAGTGGCTAACTGCCTGCCCCGTGCCATTGGGAGGAGAGTGACCGGGAAGGGCTGAAGACTCTTGAGCCATGTCACATGGACAATGGAAGATGACCGTCCCTGTTTCTAACTGGCCCTGAGCTGCTGACCTTCTGTCCTACAGCTCCCGGTGCCTGAACAGCCCTTCCCCAGCCCCACCTTTGCAGTCCAGCACATTTACAACGTTTGTTGAATGAATGAAATCTAACTACATAGGAAAGTGATACAACCAAGTCATATGTCGCTTAGCTGCTTTAGGGCTGAGGAATTAGTCCCCTTCTGCTTCCGCACTTGCAGGCCAGCTCCATAAAGCCATGATTCACGGCAGACAAACACATGTGCTTTTTATTGCAGTCACCCACTACCCTTAATATCTAGATCATCAAGGAAGCTGGAACAGGATAATATACAACACATCCTTTACCTTCCTCATGGTAAAGCAGCCAGTCAGAAGACTAAGGACCAGGCATCCTGGCCGTCTTTAGGGGAAAAGGGATCAATTTTGATTAAGGTAGTTCTCAAAAAAAAAAAAAAATTTCACCAACCATTTGTGTTCGTCACCCCTATCACCATCCCATAGAACCAGGGGTCTGTGGGACTCACTTTGGGAAATATTGCTACGAGTAAAGTGTGTGGAGCTCAGATCCCTGCAAGGGCCAGGCAGGTGACACAAGGTGGGCTCACAAAACGCAGTGAGTAGTGGAGACTGGAAAACTGAGGCAGGGAGGCACTGTGGAAATCACATAGTGAATATGGGCGCTGTACCCTCAAATGCTTAGGAAACATTGGAAACGTAGTGGATTTCACTGGCATTAGCAGCAGGGTCTCACACATACACAGGTGGATGTATGTAATATATCACATAATATATGTGCTCCTAAAAAAAGGTTTGCCCTTGAGCTGTAATTCTAACTTACTAATGTAGTTTTTATTTACAACACACAGTGGTGTTCCTGCATCTGTACCATGACTGCAAAAAAAAAAAAAAAATGTGTTTGTGGTTCCCAACAGCATTTTTAACAATTTTAAGTCAATCTTTAAAAATTAGGTAATTTCACAGTAAGGGCCATATTTCCAGTTTTTCTTGAAAAAAAAAATCATAAAATCTAGCAACACTAGGCCAGTTTCCTGGCATGGGAAAAATCTGTTTTCTAGTGTTAGGTAACTTTCCTCAGCCATTCGACAGTCATTTAACAAACATTTTTAAAGGCCTGCCATATGCCAGCCATGTGGATAAATAAGTAACAAATAATAAACACAGTCTAATCCCAACTTATAGGCCTTTGCTGCTGCTATTCAAAGTGCTCCATGGACCAGCAGTGTCAGTATCACATGGAAACTTGCTAGAAATGCAGAGTCTCAGGTTCCACCCAAGATTCACTGAATTAGAATCTTTATTTTATCACAACTTCCAGGTGATTTATATGCCTATTAAAGTTTGAGAACATTCTTAGCAAATATTTAGCTTGGATGCCCAGAAAAAGTATTATTAAAAATGCAGGTCCCCACCCAGACTTACTGAATTAGAATCTTGTGAGTTGGGTTCTCTTAATTTGTATTTTAAACAGGCTCCTCAATTTGCAACTCAAGTGTAGGTTCATTGTAGAAACTGAAAACTACAAAGAAAGCCAAGCACTATCCTGGGCACTGTATAGACACAGTGCAGGCATGAAACACTCTGTGTGGGAAGATTAAGGCCAAGGCCACCTTCCTATAGACGTGTGTGTGTGTGTGTGTGTGTGTGTGTGTGTGTAGAGCATTGTACCGTATCGTTCCAACAGCCCTTGGTGCACTGCAGAAACTGAATTAAGTGCTAGGTGAGGAAATCAGATGCCTTTAGGAAACAAAACCTTTGCCAAGAGACTTTGGGACGGTTGGTAACCCGGTCATGAAGGCATGCTGCCTGGAGTGGGTCCCTCAATCCCGAGTACAAACCTTGAGAGAAGTATGGCGGCAGGGAGGCGCTTTGTGGAAAACTGTTACTGTGGAAACAAAAAACAAAACCAAAAATGTATTTGAAGCTGGGTTGAGGTGAAGGAATGGGGAAGCCGTGTTAGGGAACCCGGAATGCAAATGCTGCTTTGTTTGCTGTTACTTCCCACCCTCCCCCCACCCCCACCCCCAAAGCGTGGGAGCTGGGCAAAGAGGAGGAACTGAGTAGACAAACTTCACTGCTGTCCCATGTGGATCATCCCAAAGTCTAAAAAGCCTCAAAAGCCCCCAAAACCCAAATATCAGCAAAACTGTGTAAAGGGCTTTTAGAAGGCGACTTTAAAAAGCTGGCTGCAGTTTGAGGCCTCTGAGTTTTGAGCATGGCAGAAGTCCTCTGCAGGGAGGACCTTTCTTAACAGCTTCTGCAGGGCCTGTGGGAGCCCTAAATGCTGTCTGCTCCCCACCCCTAAGCCCGCGTCTTCTGTTCAAGTCTGCTCTGCTCAGAAATCTCGTGTGAGTGGTATTTTGCAAAAGTGAGATAGGTTTGGGGCCCAGTGTGGGGTAAAGCAGCATGAGAAAATGGCAGACGTGGCAGAAAAAGAAAAACAGCTGGAAGAATGAGAAGAAGCAGAAAATCAGAGCCAGAGGTGCCCAAGGAAGACGAAAACATTTCAGAATCTTCCCGGATATTTGGCAGGGGCGACGAGGTGGTGCTGGTGTTGAGTTTTCTCCCATATTCAGGGCAGGACTGGGACTCTCCCTTTGGATATTAAAGGAAAGGGTGAGCCCACAGGGCTGGAGGCCTTAGGGGATACCAGAAGGCAGTCTGAGGGCTCGTGGAGGGAGAAATGACCTAGCCTTTCTCCTGTTTGCGCCTCGGTCTCTGGACAGCCTCCTCTGGGCCCTAAGAAACGCTGTTGCTATGGAGAAAACAGACCTGCAGGGACAAAGCCTGTGCAGTGAACTAGCATCCACCAAGTGCGAGGTACGCTTTCTCAGTCTCCCCATCCCAGATGCAGGGTGAACTCCAAGTACTTAAGTTGACTGGGTTTCTTGAGTGGTTGGTTTGTTTGTTGGTTTCAGTTCACAAAGTGAAAACACTCCCCATTTCCTGCCAGAGTCTGTTCTGTCTGGGGCAAGCATGGGGCAGTGTATTCTGTTCCCCTCTGACCCCAAGCACGTACTCAGAGGACAGCAGTGGATTAATGCATGCGGTTCTTCATGCTCTGCTTGGCTTTGGTTCTTCAGACCCAAAATGTTCCAACCTTACTACAGACGGGCTCATTTCTTTCTTCCTCCACCCACCTGACATTAGCTCAGTGTCAGTGGACCCAGATATTACGTTTAGAACTGAACGACGTTGCCACGCACCTCTCTGAGAACGCTCCCGGCGCGTGAGATGACGGGAGAGAGTGTTTGGGGGGTGGCTTAGTAGATCTTGAAGGGAACGTGTTGGAGCTCATGGAGAACATTGTTGGCTGGGGCAAAGGTCTTTGATGCACTATGGGGGAGAAAAAAAATTAAGCAGATGGTCAGGAGCCAGGTGTCGCGGGAACATTCCAGAACCGCTCCCCCATTAGAAATAGCTAGTCTAAAGGGAGATACAAAAATCCAAAAGATCAAATGTAATTAGGAAGTGGTAGGATGGAACCCCACCCTTCCCCAAGAACTTTCTAGATGATTTACACCTTAGAATGCATTTTAAAATGCTGCCATTCTACATCATTCTCTATAACACATATTTATTTTATTTTTTACATTTTCGAAGTGCTGACTTGGCTGAAAATTGTCAATTGGAAACCATATGAATTTCACAAATGATTCACAAGCTTTTTTTTTGTTTTATGAAAGCCAAGTTTCATGCTGTCTCATTCTTCTGCAGTTAGTGATCCTTTACCCACAAGTGTTAGACGGCATAAATATTAGACATTTTTTTATCAAGCCATAATACAATTTTTAAAATTTTGCTGTGTTATTAAGTAATTTGCACTGATATGCATCAACTTAACACTTCTCTTTAGCAACCCAGCCAAGTGATTCCATCTTATGATAGTCATGCAGTCTACCAACTGATATTTGTCTACTTAACACTAATTTAACAATTTTAATTGATTATGTGGGGTTTCTGTACTAAACAATTCCATTGGAACGCCTGAGCAGAACAATGAAGGAGAGAGGTTGTAAGAAAACTTTCTGGACTTACCGTCATCTTCATCCTGGTGAGGGGGAGAAAAAAAGAAAAAAAGATATTCAATTATCATCAAAACATGATTTCTAAAAGAACCACATTTCTGAATAACATGAATGTCTCTGTTTCACTTGAGCAGTTGTACAGCTCCGTAATAAATACATTGCGGAGAACAGTGGAGCTTGCTAAGGGGCTTATGATTTCTTAATACCAACCATCATCTAAGGACATTCCACTCTTGAGTCGCTCCTTGTATATTTAGCATCAAATAGGTTCTGAGGTGTCTAAAAGGGCCCAAAGATCCAATAATAATGACAATATCTACTGCGTGCCCCCCAAAGATTCATATGTGATATTTCATCCAATTCCCCTACCAACCCTTCAAGAATTTAACAGCCTCCTTGCACAAATGGAAACATGTTGCTCAGCCGGGACTTGGAACTTGCCACGTGTTACAGAGATAGATCTGGCCTCTCATCTGTCTGATGCAAAGCTCAGCCTTCTTGGAGGCTCTGTTTTGCAATGGCCACTCCTCTTAAAAGCACCTCCACCTTACTTATTTATAATGTGGCTTACAAGGCGTGTCTACCTCACTCAGCATAGTCGCCTTCAGGGCAACCTTGAAACAAACCAAGGAAGGGCTATCATTGACTCTGCTCCTCAGATGAGAAATGATGGGGGAGGCAAAAAACGATGTGGCCATTGACTAGCAGGCCAAACTCACCAACCTGGACTTGTTTTAAATATTAGGCCACACGCTGGTGATGCATGAGCTCCGTCCTCAAAGTGGTGTTGTGAGAATTAAGTTAGTGATGACCTGTGCCTGGTACACGTTAAGTGCTCAGGAAAAATTAGTTGTCATTAGTCTGCCACTGAGATGAGGCGCGAAGGATCACAGCCAGAACTATTCGTCCCGACTGGCCAACTGGTAGTGCCAGTAAAGGGCTGCATAACTAAACGCACATGAGCTTAGGGAATCCCCGCGGTGACGTCTCTCTTCAACACCATTGCGACCATGTCATGTCCACCCTGGTTCAAGAATATACAACTCCCAGATTCCCATGACATGAGTGTCAACCCTTCCAGAGACTGGGAACCTCGAGAGCATGAAGTCGTCCTTGCTTTCAATCTCACCTCCTCTTGCCCTAATCGCTCTGCAGCCACCCTGCTGTCCCCACAGGTTCCAGGGGCATTGCCACCCACCTGCCTTTATGCAGGACATTCATGAGGCTGGGCTGCATCAGGGCTTGTGGTTAGGGTGACGCTAATCTGGGTCCTCCCATCACTCAATGACCATCACAAATCTCACCTCCAAGAAGTCACCCCTGGTTCCTTGACCTCCATAGATCAGTTTCTCCCCTTTGCTTCTGTAGCTCACTCCATGATCATATGCAGTTTAGCATGTTGGATGTGGTTTGCCTGCCTCCATCATATCTTAGCACTGCATGTGGACAGGCACAGCATCTAGCACAGAGCTACGAAGCAGCAGGCGCTTGTGAGCTGAGCCCTTGAATAGGGGCGAGTGTGTGATGGCCTTCAGAGGGCTTATGTTACAGAGGAAATCGGGCAGACCTGCATTCTGGTCCTGGCTACTGACTAGCTGTGCAACTTGCAATGAGTGTCTTACCCCCTCTGAGCTTCAGTTTCTCTTAGTAAAAGAGCAACTCTGATTCCTGATAGGGTCATTCAGTGCAAAGCCTGTGTAAAACCAATGTTCCTAGTCCTGGTTTGCCTGAAACAAACTGATGGCATTCCTCGGATGTGAGACTTTCATTGCTAAAACTGGGAAAGTCCCAGGTAAACAGCTGGTCACCCAAATGCAGCTAGTTTGGCAACATGCACATAGTAGGCATTCAATAAATGCTATTGTCTCTCTTTTTCAGATTGTGGGGGTATTAAAAGGGAAACCAAAGGTCATAGAAGCTTTGCTGCAAGGCCCAGCGTTGTGGGCACCCCTTCCTTTATTCTCCCCTCCACCCCACTGCCACTTCACCTTGCTATATTCCACCTGGCGATGGGGCTGAAATTAACCCAGCCACCCTGGGAGCTTTCAGAGGGGCGGGAGCTATGCAGTGCAGCTTGGTGGGTAGGTGTGGAAGATGGAGGCCCCCGGGGGCCCCAGCGCTCAGGGGCCCGCCGTGTGTAGGATTTGTCCTGGTGCCAGGCTTCAGTGAGGCTGGGACAGATGGAACCCCAACCTCCATGGAGCCTGCACTGGTTTTCTCTGAGCCAAGCATTCACCGAATGACAGTTTGTACTTACATTCTCTCTTCTGTCTGGTCCCCATCCATGCCTGAAATGAATTAGGGCAAAGAGAAAGAAATGAGCTTGAGGAGTTTCAAAGAGCCGGCCTCAGAATATAAATGCTTTCACTTAACCTAATAATGAGAAATCAAACCCACTGAGCCATGATTAAATGAGAAGCAAAAAAAACCAAAACAAAACAAAACAAAAACCAGCAGAAAAGCAGGGGAGAGGCAGTGGACAGGAGGTTAGGTGACTCAGTGTTCTGTCATCTTTGCGAGCTGAGCTAGGCAAACCTTTATTCTGTTTAGATACTGCAGCAAATAATTACAAATAACAAAAAAGGTTTAGTCAGCAACCTAACTCTTTCGCAGCTATTAAATTTCACTGAGTTGATGTTTCTTCAAGCAAATGAAAACATTTTAGGTAATATTCTCCTTTGCTGATGTGTTAAAACAGCCATCTCGGGGCTCACCCTTCGGTGAAGGGAAGACAGCTGGAAAATGCTGCCGCTTTGGGACTTTTCCCTGATGTGCGAGCTAGCCAAACAGATGTGGTGGCAGCCGCTGTAGAGCTATGGCAGGCAGCTATACACCTGGGCTGCATTCTGTTCTTCGGACACAAGGACAGCTTGTTAAATGGCTCATATCTGTCGATGCTTCACATGTCATCTCATCCCGTGTTTAATTAAAATTCTGATATTTTGTTCGTTATGAGACTTTTTGCATTCATTTTCATCTTTTAAAATATTCCAATGAAATATTAACTCGGTCGCTGAGGTGTGTTTGGTGCACCCTAGCCCTGATTTAATCCTCACACTAGCCAAGCCAGGGCCACAGTTATGAACCCTGATTACACAGATAAACAAACTGTCCTTAGCAAGTAGTGGGGTTCGGTCTGACCCCAAATGCACTTGTGCCATTTGGTCAATAGCCCCCATAAGACTATACAGCCAAGTTGGCAATATTAGAGCAGACCTCAGTATTTTGGCAGCATTATAAAATGTGCTTGGCAGTGAGGAAGACACGTACAGTGACCTAAAAACCTCCCACAATTATTTCTACTCTGCTACCCGTATGGAAAACTAAATTGGCAGATAAGTTCCTATGCACTGTGATGGAAAGAAATACAGCCACAAATTCCACTGATTGAGAATAAGGCCTCCACAGAGGGCAGACATTCCCATGCTCCTGACTAAGCATCTCTCTACTCCTTTCTTGGCTAGATGGCCCTTTTCTTCAAAGGGACCCAGGCACTTTACATCCAACCTAAGGAGTCTGAACACTCCTCCAGCCACAGCAGCTAACGAGCCACTCCCCGCCTGGGAGTGCCCAGGACTTCCAGTTCCTGCATAAGGCTGCTAGTAGGCAGGTTGTTGGCACTGTGCACTCTGAATGACCAGCTCGAGCAACAGAAGATAGTTACTTTGGCACAGGTGGCTTCTTCCCTGGCAGAGGGCTACTTCGGTCATGTCTTTCCGTGGTCGGTGGTAAAGGAGGCTTTGGTATCTTGGGTAAATGTTCCCCGAGAGGCCTGCAGAGTTGAGAGAAAGGATGTGTGAGGGTCTAACTAGAGTCCCACAGCATACACCATGTTCCTTCCTGCTGATAGATACAACAGAGCGCTTACCTTCCTGCTGGGGTCGAGGGCTGCAAGACAGAAGGGGAGATGTGTGAGTGTCCTCAGTGGTTTTTAAAGAATAAAGACAAGATACAAAACAAAAACACACAACGAAGCAGGAAAACATCTTACCTTGTCAGAAAACGCCGGTTTCTTTCCTGTAAAGGACAAATAGTAGGCGGGTCTTAAATTCTGGACTTTATCAGCGAATCATAAGCTATTAAAACAAAGCTCATGGGATTTATATGGAACCAAAAAAGACCACGAATAGCCACGGCAATCTTGAGAAATAAGAACAAAGTTGGGGGGATCACGCTTCCAGACATTAGAACATACT